TCCAGTTTGGGGCCTTTGATGTCAATGTCGGGACCTTTCAAATCACCCTCCACCTTTGGCACAGACACGTCCACATCTCCCTTCACTTTGGGGCCTTTCAGGTTCAGGTCAAAGTCCGGCATCGAGATTTTGGGGGCTTTGAAATGCATCTCGGGCATCTTGAACTTGGGTCCCTTCAACTTCCCTTCTGGCATCTCTATATCCACATCAGGACCTTCAATGTCCACTTTGGGTCCTTTGATATCCATATCGGGGCCTTTCAAGTCACCTTCTAGTTTGGGGGTGGAATCATCCACGTTTCCCTTCAGCTTTGGCCCTTTGAGGTTCAGGTCGATGTCGGGCATCGAGATCTTGGGGGTCTTGAAGTGCATCTCGGGCATCTTGAACTTGGGACCTTTAATCTTTGCTTCTGGACACTCAAGGTCAATGTCAGGAACATTCACATCCAGTTTCGGCCCTTTGATATCGACATCGGGACCTTTCAAATCACCCTCCAGCTTTGGCACAGACACGTCCACGTCCCCCTTCACTTTGGGGCCCTTCAGGTTCAGGTCAAAGTCCGGCATCGAGATCTTGGGGGCCTTGATGTGCATCTCGGGCATCTTGAACTTGGGGCCCTTCAGCTTCCCCTCTGGGCCCTCAATGTCAAGGTCAGGCACTTCTATGTCCACTTTGGGCCCTTTAAGTTCCAGATCTGGCACTTTCACGTCCCCCTCAATTTTGGGAGCAGAAACATCCACATCTCCCTTCACTTTGGGACCTTTCAAGCTGAGGTCCATATCAGGCATAGAAAATTTGGGGGCCTTGATGTGCATCTCAGGCATCTTTATCTTGGGCCCTTTCCATTTTCCCTCAGGACCTTCAACCTCAAGATCAGGAACATCAACATCCAACTTCGGACCTTTAATATTCACATCGGGTCCCTTCAATTCACCTTCTAATTGTGGGACAGAAACATCAGCACCACCCTTCACCTTCGGGCCCTTCAGGTTCAGGTCAATGTCGGGCATGGAGATCTTGGGGGCTTTGATGTGCATCTCGGGCATCTTGAACTTGGGACCTTTCAGCTTCCCCTCGGGACCTTCAATGTCCACACTTGGCATCTCAATATCTACTTTTGGGCCAGAAACATCAATATCTCCTTTTGGCAAGTTCACATCAACTTCTGGACCTTCTGCTTTCAGCCCCGGCATCCCAAACTTGGGCATCTTGAACTTGGGCATCTTGAACTTTCCTTCTGGGCCTTGAATGTCGACATCAGGACCCTCAACGTCAACTTTGGGACCTTTGATACCAAATTCGGGGCCCTTTAGGTCACCTTCCAGCTTTGGCACAGACACGTCCACATCTCCCTTCACTTTGGAGCCCTTCAGGTTCAGGTCAATGTCAGGCATCGAGATCTTGGGAGCCTTGATGTGCATCTCGGGCATCTTGAACTTGGGACCTTTCAGCTTCCCCTCGGGACCTTCAATGTCCACACTTGGCATCTCAATATCTACCTTTGGAGCAGAAACATCAATATCTCCTTTTGGCAAGTTCACATCAACTTCTGGACCTTCTGCTTTGAATCCCGGCATCCCGAACTTGGGCATCTTGAACTTGGGCATCTTGAACTTTCCTTCTGGGCCGTGAATGTTGACATCAGGACCTTCAATGTCCACTTTGGGTCCTTCGATGTCCACATTGGGACCCTTTAAGTCACCTTCTACCTTAGGAAGAGACACATCCACATCTCCCTTCACTT